AGTTTGAGAAGTTTCTTTTTTTCCGATTCATCCTAGAGAATTCCGACCCGTAGATTCGATATGTGGCAAAACCGCCTGGAAGACACTGTGCTACTGACATCATCTCGATTGGCATTATCTGCCACTCAACAGAGATAATGAGATAAAGAGCAAAAACTGTGTAGATGAATATGCAGAAGATTTCGACACATCGGAATCCTCCACAAATTCCTTCCATTCAGAAATCAAAGCTCCCACAAAACCCCAGAATAACTCCGACTACTTCAACACGGCATCATTCTTTAGGAAGAATATTGACACACTTCCTAGTAGTAAGTACTCTTAACTTCAAGCCCCTTCTGCTTATTGTGCACAAATAATTTTTGAGTTGAAGAAGAATTTCAGTGGCCGTAAATAGCGCTTTACTTGTAGCCATCTTGCCAACGTTTCAATAACTTCCGTAAGAGGTTTTAAGTGCCCTTGTTCCAGACTTCGTCTAAACAATATACTAAAATAACATTATCTCCTAAAAATCAGTAATCAAGTCATTTACGTAACCTTGCCTACAATGACATAAAAATGAAAAAAGCAACAGAAAATATCAAAATTCAAACCGTTTATAGTATTCTTGAAATTCTATCAAAAACAAAAATCTGAAAAGTTTACATCTTAACACCTAACAACCTACCACAATATCAATGAATTTACTCAAAACAATTAAAATTAGCTTGAAACCTATAAGTGATTTATGCGCCATTTTGATACTGTAGACCCTTCTCATAAACTATGGCTTAGAGTTCTGATATGACTCGAATGGAGTTACGTCAAACTGTTCCTGCAGCGGTGAGATTGTTTCCTCCCAATGATTCTCTCAATCGATGGCCATGAAAAATCGAGTTTTTGCTGCTTGTTCAAAAATCCATAGCAGATGTTTCGTAAGGAACCTGTGGCGATGCCTGTAATACGAAAAATAGTTCAACATCTGCAAATAAATATGAGTAAAAACCAAGTCATTCCAGAAATTCCAGCTACAAAAACTTATACTGTATTGCTCAGGGAGAAACGACGATAACTATCATACTCCATGTTTGAAACAGGAAAACTAAAAAACGTTACTTGAAGCTCAAACCAACTCACTTTGTGCGCAACCTTCCTGCGCCAAATATGCCGGCAGTCACACACATGGGCAAACCAAATTGAATGCCTTCAAAATACTCAACAGTGATGAAATAAGGTAAATGTGTAGACAAACACCACAGTAAGGTGGATGAATGTATTGTAGAAAAATT